ATGGTTTTGGTAAGGTTGCATTCCTTTTGGAGGCTCCCAGAGAGAACATATTTCCTTGCCTTTTTTAACTTCTGGAAACTACCTGCATTTCTTAGTTTGTAGCCCTTCCTCACATTGCTCCAACCTCTGCTTCAGTTATTACATCTACTGTGTGTCAAATATCTCCCTCTGCCTGCCTCCTGCTCATAAAGATATGATTGTATTAGTGTCCATTTTGATTATCCAAGTTAATTCCCATCTCAAGATCCTTAATGCTTAATTACATCTGCAAAGTTTCTTTTACTATCTACAGTAACATTCACAGGTTCCAGGGATTAGGATGTGGACATGTTAGGGTACTATTGGCCTACCACAGCTCCACATACATTTCTTTGCACTGCACCGGTGAAAGGTGGTAGGAGAACCCAGCAGGCGCACAAGGTTTCAAAGTGTTCCTAAATTAAGATCTAAAGAGAAGTGGGTAAATCAGCTCTGTAACCACTGGGATCACTCTGAGACCATCATAAACTGGTCTCATTTCCATTGGCTTCATATCTCTCCCTCCCGACATTGTTTCCTTTAAAACACTTTGTAGCACTGAAGCTGAACTTTTTAATTCCTCATCCTAAAAGATTATTAGAGGCTGTAAAATGGATGTTTTCTACAAGATGAAATGTTTTTCTCATAAGTCTTTGGTCTAATAACCATAGCTGTGATCTGTGGCATGCTTACAGAGTATAGTAACACCTTATTTTTGTCTATCATTCTATATTCCACAAAATACTTTCACATCCTTTAGCTTATTTGGAGACAGGAAAAGGATGGTGTTGTTATGTATATTTCAATTGCACAGATGAGTAAACTGTGGCTGCAAGGCAGAGAATGGATTGGAGGGTAGATGACTTAACACAGCCCTTCCTGACAGACACCTTCCACATTTTGGCAAAAGTTTCTGCCAGGTTTTAAGGCTGCCTGATTATGTTAAATAGTTAAGGAGAGTGATCCTGATTCTCAATATAAAACTCTTTCAATATTTCTTTCCTCGTCTTCCTGCTCTCCCATCTCTCTGCCTTCAGAATCTTAATCTGTTCTTTTCTTTCCCCTCTTCTGTCAGTGATTCAGGGATTGGAAGAGTCTCTGTAGTTTGTTTTGTCCTAAAGAGCAGAAGGCTTCGGTCCCAACTAGTGTTGCCAAAGCAACATACTAATTCCATGCCATGGTCCTGGGTCAAGATCTGCACAATCTGATTGGCCATATCACCTCGGATGGCAAGGGAATGGAAGTGGTCGAAATCATGGAGTCCCAGCTTTCGGAGACGCCTTGCAGCTGCCCGGTAACACTTCCAAGGCTGGGGCTCCACAAGGAGATAGCGGCATAGGGAGGAAAGATGGGCCAGGAACTCCCACAGGCCATGATCCCCATGGTTTAGATGAATCCACATGGTCACTGACATGCAGAAACCAATGTCAAAAACTGAACGTCCAAATTGGCTTAAGAAAGAGTTCAAAAG